CGGGTATCCATTCAAGCAAGCCAATGAAGTCACACCGAACACGCGGCAGGCGGCGTCGCGCGCGGCGTACTGTACTGCGGGTCCAGATGGAAGTTAATCTAATCTGCCGTACCCATAAATTACGGCTAAGGTTAAGTACCTAACAAGGCTTAAGTGTTAGACAACATTTACCGTAACAAGCGTAACCTTGAGATCCAGAGTCAACCCTGCGTTGCGCAGTTCTCAACGGCCACGTTGCGCAGTTTCGCCCGATTAGACACGTTCTCTCGCGCGAACATTCACACTCGCATGCTCGAGCCGTCTGTGTCTCCGCCCATACAGCGTGCGTTGAGGATCTCTCAACGTGCCGTTGCGAACTGCGCAACGCAGGGTTGACTCTGGTCTCAAGGTTACGCTTGTTACGGTAAATGTTGTCTAACACTTAAGCCTTGTTAGGTACTTAACCTTAGCCGTAATTTATGGGTACGGCAGATTAGATTAACTTCCATCTGGACCCGCAGTACAGTACGCCGCGCGCGACGCCGCCTGCCGCGTGTTCGGTGTGACTTCATTGGCTTGCTTGAATGGATACCCGACAGGAGACCCGTCGCGAGGCAACAAGGCAGAGTCAGCGAGTGAGTCGCAGCGTCTTCTTGTAGTTTTAGTTCTTTCTTTAGTTCTTTCACGTCAAGTTAAATGGAAGACACTTGTACGTCCTACATCGCGCCGCAACTCGTCCGCTGACACTGCCTTATTGCCGTGCGAGGGCCTCCTGCCGGGTACCCTGCTTGAATCGACGGTTTCCCCATTCCGCCTCATCGTTCTGTAACGATACACATCACACCTTCACACCTTGGAAATACATGATAAGCGCTACTGCTGAACGTGACCATCCAGTCAAAGAATGACCTATGAACCTAGTAAAAGATGCCATTTTAAAGCTCACATTTTATTGTAGAGGCAAAAAACGGTCAGCTTCGTTAAGCCGCAAACTTTGTATGCGCAGCCAATTCCTGTCGTCTTTGAGTGCACCATCTAAAATTGAGTTATATCTGTGAAGTAGGAGCAACCGCCATTGTTCTCTGGAAAAATAGGTGAACCCTGGTCACTGTACACTGTTTTCAAAAACGATTGCTTTCTTGTTCAACCGTGATCCACAGGAAAAAATTACAGTACAAGTATATAATGTACCTCAAACATTTACGTAGAATAGCACTTATCAGAGTTTATCAGCAATCCCAGTAACCATAGGAAGTGGAATTGCAGGTAAGGACCACGAAAAGCAGATTCACTCCAAAGTTGGGGTGCTCCCTATGGCCTATTACCTCAACGCCGTGGGACGGTGAAAAAGGCGGCAAGCGATCTATAACGCGACAGTGTCTGAGAAGAACACAGTTATAACCCCCCAATATTACATCACCAATATTAAATTACTTTATTGGGCTAACCCTTTGGCTTGTTCGCCTCTATCAAAGCCTGAAAAGATAAAGGAAACATCCGAATCTGAATCCTTTTCAAACGCCTCCACAATGCTGAAGACAATTCACACATTTGAGGAAATTATCCAGTAGTGCCGATCGATCAAGTATGCTGACCAGACTTCTAAGCGCAAGTAAGGTCCTCGCGTGGCCGCTCTAGCATCACGGCGGCGTTGATCATGGTTTATCGATTGATAACGTGAGGTGCTTCACTAGATATGGAAGTTTTCAGTATTGTGGACGCTTGGGCGGTCAAGTCATTGTTTTTTGCTTTTTCAGCCATTGAGGAAGTCGAAGAAGCAGAAACGTTGGCGCAATTAAGTTATCTAACTTTAATGGCTCTAAGTAATTGGCATCTATATGAACTATGTCAAGATTGAAATCGTTGATTCTCGACAATTACTTACGTTGGCAAAAGTGTAGAGATTGGAGTCGACATATTTATTCTCAGGATCAGTGCTGCCATACTGACGGACTTTACCCCACCATGACGTTAAAGCTGATGCCACCTGATCGGCTACATTCGTCAAAATGTTAACTCCAGTGTAGCTAAAATAAAAAAGTTTTGAAACATCAGTGTATACTTTTGGGCAGGGTCAACCGTGCGTTCGCACTATTCTAAAGAGGGGGTCGCATTTCTGGTTGGTTTTGGGAGGGGGGGATTCGAGGGCGCTTGAGTGATCGTAGTGGGGTGACAGCAGTGCCGTGGGTAGGAGGACGGTGGGGGCGGAGGGACGAGGAAATTTTGCAGTTTCAACGCGACCGCCCCGAGGCAAGTCGGCACACTAGGTACACCTCCGACTATTACTCCTGCTTCTGAGACCAAGAGGCTTGAGTTAGTTTGATGCTTAGGCCTTACTACAGGGGAAGTGAAAACGCGGTCGAATTGAAATTGTTATGTATAAATAATATTTTTGTTGGCCTCACATGAACAGGAGCAACGTCGTATTCTAGGGTCTGTGAGTCGAGCTGTGGTGAGAGGGGAGGAGGGGGTGGGCTGAGTTTGCAAAGCAAGTGATTGGTACGGTATTTTGGAATGTTACCTAAAAGTTTAGTATAGGTGGTCTGGTGTTTGTGAAGTCGTTGAAAAGTGGGGAATCAGTTGCGGTAGTGAATTGATAATACTTACGAATTGAGAAAAAAAATTCTAAAAGGACATCAGTCACGAGACCGGTGCTACTGTGAATCTATGCGATTCAACGAGTCGAAAATAAGCCCACTTACGTCTGAAGATTTTGCGACAAGCCACTGAAGGATCCCATCGACGAAGGACAATTGGCGATGTAGTCCTGTGCTTGTTGCTCAAGGGAGCAGTCCCACTGCTGGAAAATGCTTACTTCAGGCCATTACAGGAAGTGCATGCTCTAGTGTCTATTTATTTTGTTACCGTGTTTATTTTATTTGTTAATTTATCTCTTTGTTCATAAAATGGATTTGATTGAGTGTTGCTGTAATGAAAATGGTACGGTAACAACTCTTCCCCGAAAGTCTATCACGATTGGCGATAGAGTAGCTGAATGGGAATAATTGTGGAAACTACCTACTGTTTCGAACACCAGATGCTCGTCATGTGCAGACCAAGCACCACAAGTGACGACGGCCCAAAATGTAAATGTTTTCTGCCAATGAAATGATTAGCCTGTTGCAGTTGTATTCTATCAGTTGTCACTAATTCATTTATCATTTATCAGCTATCACTATGAACACTAGTTACCAGATTTACTTGGAGGCCGTCGTCACTTGTGGTGTGTGGTCTGCACTCGACGCGCTTCTGTTTTTCTGAAACAGGTGCGTTCTACTGTGAAATCTTACCAGTTTGTACATGTTCTTGGCTGACGGCAGTGATCCACATTTATTTGGTTCCAAGCCTTGTGCCACGCTCAAACGAGCTTCGTTGTGAGCATTCAAAAACAGCGTCCTGATAGAATCGGTGATTCCCGAATTCGAACAGCCGAACGCTGAATTTAGAAGTTTTAGGTTTCGAAAATGAACGCAAAGCAGAAAAGGCTCTCATTACTTTGTCGTTTTCTTCGAATGCCACCCGACTGTGTGACGACAAACACTGCCAGCTGTAATGGAATTGTATATAGCATATTATTCAAAGTCGAGAGATGTTCGTGAAGTTTTTATGGTCTGTTTGCGCGGAAGAAGTAGCAGGTAGCCTAGGCCAGAAGTTTGTGAAATTTTGATGTCAAGATTCACAATATCCCGTCGCATCGCATTATTGCACTACACGGGGGTCATACTGAGCACGATTTTTGAGCTAAACCAACGCCATGCATAGTGGTTGGGCCGCGTACTTATGAAGGTGTGCAAAAAATACAGACAGTATCCAAGCCTTTGACTGAGTCAAATTTCGGGTCGACTGTTTGTAGGATAGGCAAACACTCCGAGGTCGGTTGAATTGTTTGGGAGCATCAAAACACCAACTTCACGTCAGATGGTAGTCGCAGATCACTATGTAGACCATATCGCTTTCAAACGCATACGTGATCTTGAGTGAAGACCAAATGCATGGCGTAACACGAAAAAGGACTTGTAGCTAGGCTTTTTCAAGCGAATCTGGGCACTCTGTAAGGCCCTCTCGAGATGGAAGTGGTAATTTTTCCATTCTCAGAGGTTTGGTAAAAAATGCAAATGTCGACTCATTTACGCAACCATTAAAGAGCTTCCGTCGAGGGTCAGAATACAGTTAGATTGACCTAACAATGTAGA